GCCTTGAAGAAGTTCCATCAGTTTTTGTGGGGTAAAAAGTTCACCTTATACACTGATCATAAAGCGCTCATTTACCTTCACACGCAACCACACGCTACTCCTATGATTGTCGGCTGGCTCGATGTCATTTGCAACTATGACGTTGACATTGTTCACCTTCCTGGTATTCAAAATGTGCTGCCGGACCGTCTTTCTCGTCTTTTTGCTCCACAAGAGACATCGCTGACGCTGGAGGGGGGTAATTCCCAATTTAAGTCACCCTTTGCACACAGCATTTCCCACGCAGCCACAAAGCTCATGCATCGGTTGTTCAAGCCAACGGAAATGATTACACCACCCGAGGAAGAACGTACCAAGTTACTCGAACAATCCCATTTGAATGGCCATTTCGGTGCTGACGCCATAGTGAATGACCTTCACGACAATGGTATCTTCTGGACCAATATGAAAGATGACGCCTTGAAGCATGTCGGCAGTTGTCTCCCTTGCCAACGCTACAACATTGGTAAACATGGATACCATCCATTGCGGAGCATCAACGCTGATGGACCTGGTGATCATTGGGCTATTGATCTTTGTGAATTACACTGCACCACTCCTTCTGGCAACAACTACATTCTCGTTATGGTTGATGTCTTTACTCGTTTTTGCGTTTTACGCCCTATTCGCTTTAAATCAGCCATTGACATCGTTAAAGAGCTTTCTTCGGTCTTCAGCCTTTTCGGTTATCCAAAGATCATACAAAGCGACAACGGTAGCGAGTTCAAAAACAACTTTGTCCACCTTCTTTCCAAACACACTGGCATGGATCATCGCCTTGTTACACCATATCATCCTCGAGCCAACGGCTTAGCTGAACGTATGGTTGAAACGGTTAAGACGGCACTCTTCAAACGCTTAGAGGGCAGACCTGAAACGTGGGATTTATACCTTGATAGTACCATGTACGCAATCAATACCAAACACCACTCTGATCTCAAGACTCGTCCCTTCGCTTTGATGTTTGCTCGTCAACCCAATGCAATGCGTGATTATTCCCAAGGCAAATCAGCCAATCCTGCCGAAGTCACAAAATCCATCATGAAACGTATGAAGGAAATGGAAGATATCGTCATCCCTGGTATCCACGAAGGTCGTAAAGCTCGCAACGAAGTCACCAAAACACGCTACAACAAGACGCATCGCATGCACAAAGACATTCCTATTGGTAGCCAAGTCATGATTGTCAACGTCAATCGTAGCTCCAAGACCGATCCAATTTATGACGGACCGTACATCGTGCATTTCAGGACACCCAAAGGCAACTATGTTTTACGTGACAAGATGGGCAAGCTCCTACAGCGTAACATTCCTCCGCATCAAGTTAAACGTGTCTCAGATGATCCTAAAGCGGATGGTGACACTTTTTATGAATTCGAAGCTATTGTCGATCACCGTTCGCATGCACAACACGGCTATCCAGAATATCGTGTGCATTGGCGAGGCTACAGCGATGAGGACGACACATGGGAACCAGCTGAAAACTTTAGCGATATCTCAGCTATCAACGCCTATATCAAACGTCGTTTTCCAAATGGTATTCCATCAGATGACCCATTTTACGCTGCCGCACCAAACAATGACGGTGCACGAGCCACCAAACGCAGACGCACAGACACATCACGACGCACTTAAGAAGCAGTCTTTTCCCATACTTTTTCCTACATGGTTTTTTGCTGGGTTTTTCTGACAGCTTACACCCATCATCACATGAGGTTCACAGTGCAGCTCTTTCTTTCCATTTGCGTCATTCTTATCTTTTATCTTTTATCTTTTATCTTTTATCTTTTATTATTCTATATCACTTATCCTTT